TCATGCACATAGATTGGGTTAGGTTTGTTATAATTTCACCCCCACCCATCCTGGAAAAAGCATCTAAACTTCAAACTCACTTTTATCTGAATAAGGCCTCGACCAAGTGTTATTGTTATTTCTACCACGTGTTTTTGTTATTTTTCTAATTCATTATTGGTTTTTGTGGCTCATGACCTAAGCTCAGGCGTATTAAATAATTTTGCAGGTTGACCATTGATTTTGAGAAGGAGCCAATTGGAGTAGGAAAGGATGGTAAGAATGTCTATTTTTAGGGATATCTGGCCATCTACTGAAGAAATTGCTGAGGTAGCGCAATCTTAGGCTTGCTTTTCATTTGATACAGTTGGTAAAGTATAGAATAAATTAACTTGGGTGGAATTCATTCTAGGTTGTTCAATCCAGTGTATTGCCTGATATGTTCAAGAGTACTTATGAGGCTATCACGAAGGGTAATACCATGTGGAATCAACTATCAATCCCAGCTTCCAAGCTGTAACTCATGGGACCACGAATCTACATACATTCACGAGCCACCATATTTTCAAGGGCATGACCATGGATCCTCCTGGATCCCATGGAGTGAAGGATGCCTATTGCTTGCTGAACTTTGGTGACAGTATTACAACAATCACATCTCCCCAGCAGGAAGCATTCATAAAGATAGTCCAGCTGCGAAGTACCTTCTTGAGCGTGGTGTGGATCGCAAGGACTTCAATTCCTATGGCAGCCGTCGTGGCAATGATGAAGTGATGGCAAGGGGAACTTTTGCCAACATCCGGCTTGTTAACAAGCTATTAAATGGGGAAGTAGGCGCAAAGACAGTTCACATTCCCACAGGGGAGAAACTCTATGTCTTTGATGCTGCAATGGTAAGTTCCCTTAAATTTTTTGATATTTTCCATCATGCCTTTGTGATTCTGTACTGCTTGAAATGTATTCTTGTTCTGAAATCATTTTCTTTTGAGTTATTAATTCCAAACACATCAGTAATGGCAGGATGTCATCATGCCACTAATTGTTATTCATCCCTAATTCTTTGTGACCAACCTACTTCTTTCAGAGGTACAAGGCTGCTGGGCAGGAAACTATTATCTTGGCTGGAGCAGAGTATGGAAGTGGAAGCTCTCGAGACTGGGCTGCCAAGGGCCCAATGTTATTGGTGAGCCTTAGTATATGGCTGGTTGAAGAAGTTCTCTCTTCCCTGTTGCTATTACTTTGTCTCATCTTATCACTGTTAATAACTATTGATATGTAACAGGGAGTTAAAGCGGTGATCTCAAAAAGCTTTGAAAGGATTCATCGCAGTAATTTGGTAGGAATGGGTATTATTCCACTTTGTTTCAAGTCCGGTGAGGATGCGGACACACTAGGATTGACGGGTCATGAGCGATATACCATTGACCTCCCAAGCAAAATTAGTGAGATCCGGCCTGGCCAAGATGTCACCGTCAACACCGACTCTGGAAAATCTTTCACTTGCACCGCCCGCTTTGACACCGAGGTAGCCCTAACTTCCTTATCTCTAGGTTTTTGTATTACTTTTTTATGTTTGAGACCACATGGCATGTAATTCTTATAGTAAAAAGGACGTGGCATGGTATACACTAGGAAGGAGAGATTTGATGTTTAGTTTAATTGACAAGTTCTTGATTCTCCAAAATTAATGTGGCTCAGTTTTTGTGGTAAAAATCATTACTTGGAGTAACGACCAATGTTTAGTAAGGCAGCCAAACCACAACTAGCCTCTGATTAGATAATAATATTTTCAGACAATGTAGGTAATTGTTTTCAGAAATTTATGGAATGACAAATTGTTATGTATTCGTGTAAAATGTCTACTGGAGTCTCTCTCTCTCTCTCTCACACACACACACGCACGCACGCACGCACGCACAGAGTGTGAAGTGCTTGAATTGCATCTCTGTTTTTTTTAGTAGTTACAGAAAATGTTAAAGTAAATGTACTGCAAAACAAAGGAAATGAATATTGAAATGGACAGCTTGACGTTAATAAATGCATGCGTCATATTGTCTGCTTCTTCTAATTTGTGAAAGGCCACCACCTAATTTCCGGGGGACTCTTTCATCTGTCTACTGGTGATCACTCTTTTTAAAACAAGACGAGTTGGCTGCATATCTCAACAGTAATAGATGATGAATGAAGATTCTGAATCTAAGATTAAAACAATTTTTTTCAGGCTATGTATAAGTAATTTGCGCTGTAACAACTATGTCATATGTCCAAGCTAAATTGTGCCATGTAGAATAAAATAAGCCAATTTGAAGGCAGCTACGTAACTATGACTTTGCTGCCTGGTTTGCCTGATGGTGTGCAAGTCATCTGGCTAAGATTTACTATGTAGGACCTAATGTAGGTAATAGATCGTTCTGCTTGGGGAAAAAACCAACTTGCTGGTGCATTGTATGAATAAGTTTGCAATGGCTGGTTGGAAAAATTGTTCGACCAAGGTTGCTTATGGAGGGCCTTAACAAAAAATACCATAGATAGTTCAATTAGGTGTTCCGCATGCCTAAATGGGAACCTGACTTCCTTTGATGTAATGAAAACAGAAGGTTCAACTTTAAAGTGATTAGAGTTTAAGCCCTTTTTGTGTTGCTGTGGGCTCCTTCTTTTGATTTTTTTTTTTTTGGGGGGTGGGGTGGGGTGGGGTTTGGGGTTGGGAGTAGTATTGTCAAAAAGGAATGTTGATGCATAGCAGCATGAGTTTCAACCACCACACAGCCTATTACAACTGCATTTGTGTCATGGAGTTGGTGTATTGTTTTATTGTCAATCAGAACTAACATTGCAAGCATGAGGTTTGGGTTAACACTTCAATTTCTTTTTCAGGTGGAGTTGGCTTATTTCAATAATGGTGGCATTCTTCCATACGTTATTCGCCAGCTGATTACACAGTGAGTGGCTCGGGCCTCATTCCATTTGAGCTTTTCAAATTGTAAAACTTGAAAGGAGAATAAAAGTTTCCACAATATTAATACCCCTTGTAAGGGACAGGAATATTGAGATTTCTTTCCTCGCAACAAACGGAACAACAATTTTTTGTAATAAGGTTCTTTCACTTCACCGATGATTACCTGCTTTACTATGTGACTTTTTATCCTTGGACAGCTGAAGATTTATCCCATGAGCGAGTAAAAATGCGACATTATTATTTTCGCATATAAGGTAGCGGATGGTGGGTGTTTAAAGTAAGAAAATTCTCAGTCTTAATTGTTATTCTTTGTACTTATGTTTGTAGGCTTACATAAAATGTTAAACATAGACGTGTTTAGCTTAGAATCTGTTTATTCAATTGTGAAATTCTGTTTCCTAAGTTTTAATTATGTTGTAAATCAAATCTTCTGTGAGCTGTGAAAATGAGGATCAAACTGTTTTGCATTTGTAAAACAGTAAATGCGAAACAGTTTTTCTATTTTCGAATATAAAAAAACAGAAAAGTTGTTTGGACGGTAGAATTTTGTGTTCAGTTTTTCAAAATATGGGAATAAAAAGTCGGAATTTCAAAGAACACTAATAACATATTTTTGTTAGTTTTGAGATTTGATTTTGAAAAAAAATTAAAAGCACGATATGCAATTAACTGTGTATTTAAACAAATCATTGTTCTCAGAGTTGTGTCTGTCACTTTACTTCCAAGTAAGTCTGATTGTTCAAACCTCCCAATTTTGCTTAAAGCTTTAACCCTTCAAGTGGCATAAGTCAGTGAGGAGAGATATGGTCGGCTTCTAATAAGCGCTTGCAATAATGTTCTTTTCATGTGCTTTGTGTTTTCTCGTAGATTGATTTTGCATATTTTTTTGAGGTTGGTTTTCTCATTAGTTCTAGTCCTATACAGACTATATTTTTGGAATCTGTGTTCTTGGCTTTGTTTTGTTGTTCTTCGCAATGAGAGGAAGGATGTCATTTTGCTGCATCTTTAATTTTTGAAGTTTAACTTTTGGCTGTCTGAGATGTGTCTATGGGCATTCAACACTAGTCATTTATCTGTAGGTTTTCTTTTTCTTTTTTTTTTTTTTTGTGTGAATTTCGTGGGTTAATTTCTAGCATCAGGTAATGTAAAGGTAACGTAAAGTTGAGAGTTCTTTGGGTAAATTTTGTTTGTTTACATGTATAATATCGATTGAGAAAGAAAACCATGGTAGCACACCTCACCCCCGGCCCTTATTGTTGTGCTCTTTTTTAAAAGATTTTTGTCAGAGAGTTAATTCAAATTACATTCTATATTTTTATTATTTTTTGATCATTGGCCAAACATGTTTTATTATCTTTTAAAACTATTTTCAAAATCATATAACCAAACATGTTTTGGGATACACAAAAATCAAAATCTACTTTCCTAAAACTCTTCTTGAAAATATGATTTTGGATACTGGTTTTTTAGAACAAATCCAGACAGACCCTAAAATTCGTCTGCCATGGTGTTTTCTGTGGCATGAAAATGTCATAGCTTTATAGTATGCAAATCTCATCGAATATATTTTTTCTCTGTCGTAAATTACATAATTTTTCATTAATAGACAGTATAGTGAAGGGAATATCCTCCATCTGTTTAAACCATTTAGGGGTGCAACTCAAGGGGTTGGGTAGATTTAGCGAGTTAAAGGATCAATTTAGGCCTAAGCGAAATTGAAAAGCTTTCAATTCTAATTCAATTCAAGCCTAACTTTTAATTTGAGGTACTCAATCCGAGTATTGGTAAAATTAATTTCGGGCTCAATTTGAATTGGTTCAAATTAACTAATTCAGACTCATAATTTGGGTTCAATTGAGAGCATGATGTAATAGTTTGATCAACTTAAATTTAATAAAAAATTGAATTCAATTTAGGTTGAAGTTTTTCAACTCAAATCCAACTCAAACCCTATTTTTTTTAGGCTGAATTCAAGTTGATCTGTTCAAATTGCACTCCTACCGTGACATAGTTTGCTTTTTCAACTTAAACCGTGAATGAGCAAACGGTAAGTTGCCAATGCCACCGATTTACATTTTGGTTTCTATCAATGTTGGATCACCCATCGTGTTGGTTGAATCAATTTAAATAAAGTGGATCTCATTCGAATTTACGACACGACTGATATACCATTCAAGAAAATTGAAAAAATTGGACGGATCATATCCGAATCTGATAGTGATATTAAATGATAGGACCAGCTTGCTACTGTAGGGATGATGATGATGTTACAATGCGTAGGAGTAGACAACAAAAGAACTTGAATAGCTTCACAAAGTAAAGGAGAACGCTTCTTCTAACCTTCGCACTAGTACCAACTTAAAACGATGTACTGTGATCTGGAGAGAGAGAAAGAGAGCTAGCCATTAACGGTCCTCTGGGATGCTTTCTAGAGCTGGCTTCCAAGTGCTGCTCATCCCTTCATCACTTGTTCTACCTTGATGAGAGACTCTTCTACTACTACTCAGCTTCATTGCACCCAACAATTGCTCCACAGAAGTATACTTCGACTCGGTGTTCAAAATATGACACAATTCGTTTTGGGTCACCACAAGTCTGATCCTCACAACCCCACCTTTTGTTTTACCGCATCTTTCTCTGTCGTCCGCGTCTCCTTCCAGTGTTCTGAACCTTACCGTCTTTGCCTTACCACCACCGATTGGCCGTACTGCTCCTAACGTCGATGACGTTGCCGATTTCGTCCCTTCCATCACTTCTGCACACCTTTGGGCCTCATCTTCTTCATCTTGTGCTAGAATTTTTTTGGTCATCAAGCAATTCCCCATTCTAGCACTGCAGAGATTGATGAAAGAAAAGAAAGTATACTCAGAGAGAGAGAGTAAATGGATGGTGATATATAGAGAGAAGGGTGGAGTAAAGCACATGAGTTGCCGGTTATTACGCCGAGTATCTGGATGAAGAACATGGGCGGAGGCACTAAGGGTCGAGGGGAAATCTATACATTTTTTGGTAACTTATATATATATATATATATATATATATATATATATATTTTTTTTGTTGATATTTTTAGTGAATTGTGGCCCACCCTTTTTGCAAAATAAAAATAAATAAAAAAATTAGACCATGCAAAACTGAATTGTATTATTTTTTATTTAATCGGACCTAATATTTTGTCTGGTAAACAAATTTGATACCGTATTAATTTCAAAAACGTATACTTATCTTACATTTTTTATACGATAAACCTGTATTATGAAAGTTTTTTAATACCACAAAAAGAAGTGGTATTATAATCCAACTTAAACGTATTATTCTACACAATTACTATTATAATCCTAAAAGTGATAAATTCAAGTTGTCCTCAATGTAACAAATACTGATTGAGGGTATTTTTGTTAATTCAACATTAATACGATGAAATAATTTTTTAATTAAACAATTAATTGGATTAAATAATTACTATCCAACACGTATATTGTTTATTGTCAAATATTAGATAAAATTACGTATTATTCTAACATCATATTTAATTTTGTCTTTAATTTAATTGTATTATATTAGACTGTATTATTTTATTTAATCTATTTAATTTTAATACGGCAACCAAACAAGTCCATTTGATCTTGAGCTAGAGCCAAACAAATAAGACGAATGTCTTCGTAAATGGTGATGTTTTTAAAGAAGCAGAAGCAGCCGGGGGAATCGACGGTGGCACAAGTCATCTGTTGCATGTGATGTGAGGCGTAAAATATGATGTCCCATTACGCAAAGGTTGTTGACAAATGAAGCCATTTGCCGCGTGAAAAACAGTTAAACGTAAGGAGCATCGTTCACATGGTTTAGGTACGTACGTACGTACTTAGGTAGCTCAGATTACTTATTTCTTACGAAATGTTGTAAGAGGCTTCTTCACATGTGAAGATGACCAATATTGATGCCAAACATTTAGGCCTGTTTGGTTTGTTTTTTTGAGTGGATTTTGGATTGAATTGTTTAAATTTGAGTTTGATTCAAAGTTGAGATTTAAAGATGAGATTCAATATTTAATATTGTCTATATCTATATTTGATATGTGCAAGAATATATGACTATAATAATAATATATTTATATATGAATAATTATTGTGCCCCATAATCAATTTGTATATATGAAGTATATATGATATATAAGGATATAAATGTTATTTGCATGTTAAACCCTTAAACCCACAAATAAAACCCACCCTCCTTGGGTTTCATGAAACCCAAGTATGTGGGTTTCATGACCGGGACATGACTGGGCCGAGTTTGAAATCCTTTCCGTTCTTCATAGTTGTCAAACATGGGTTTAAGGGGATTTACTCTCCAACCCATGTTTCCAAACTCTCCCCCCCTAAACCCACATATCAAACAACCCCTTAGTATATTAGCTAATGCTCGTGTCTGAAGGCACGACGTAATAAAAAAAGTCGACCTAATAATACAAATATTCCGTTTAGGAGGCCCAATAAGTTTTTTGACCTAATAAATTCAAAACATTTCAACATAATTTTCTCTAAAAATAAGATCTTATGAAAACGGAAATCTATATTAACAATTTATATACTTTCTTATCGCACCCTAAAAGTTTCTATAAAAAAGTAAATCCTAAAAAAACCCTCATCTTAGTGAGGTGAAATTTTATTAATAAAAATACTTCCAAAGAAACCGGGGGAAGTACAACCTTACCCTTATAATAGGGTTACAAATAGGAGATTTGCTCAAAACCAATTACAAAGAAAAATATAAAAAAAAAAGAAAGTGGAAAAAATACCTTGTCATCTAAAATTACACTGAGCATGCCTTCCCTATGCCCAAAAAATCGCTACCATTTAACACCTCCGCCTCCACCTCCACCTCATTTCTTTTTCTGTTTAAATAATCATGGTAGGATATCTATAAGTCTTCCGCCACCATACTTATCACCACCTTCACATACATGGTTTGTCTACACTGTCAAGAAGACATCCAAAAATGGTGGCCCTTGTGCTCACCACCATTTCGTTCGGAATACTACTTGAAAAGTCGTCAAAACAATGTCGAACCTTATTATTATAATGACATCAATCCACATTGCCGAAAATACCATTCAAAATGCTTCATATTTATAACTCATATGCCAGTGAAGGGATCGGAAGACTTGACAATCCTTGAATACATTGAAAAACCAACCCGAGTCATTAGTAGATAATTTGCTAGAAGATTGTACATAACCCAAGGAAAAAAATCAAGAAAATATGTGCAGTGCCAATGACTAATTATAGAAGATGTGGAATTCAATGCAATAGGTGAAATAGGGAAAGCAAGACCCACCTATAAACCAATAGAAACCACACAAAGGATACCAAGTGCTTAGTTATAACACCTTACTGCAGTAGTAACATAGCCAAGGATGTCAATTGCCGGTAAACCTTGAACAACTCCACTACAAAGTAAAACTATCGTACACCACTATCTTATCTTCAGTCCTGTTAGACCTACAAAAACCTAGAAGCCCTAATTTATCTTAGAACAACATTAATTAGAGACTATACAATTAATGACGCCCACACCCACACCCACACCCACACCCACACCCACACCCACAAAAACAATATTATTCGAGGTGGCAAACGCATAAAACTACATCTTTTAACGCACAATTCATCACACTCGAGATTTATGTTTGTGATAATTAATGATGGTCAAACGATAATATCTGTGTCTTTATTACTTTATACCTCTCGAGAAACAAATCAATGGTGTACTTGAAAGCCTTGAGATCATAAAGCAGCGGCATATTTATGAGAAGGCAAAAATTAGTTAAATAGTAAATTACTTTTCATTGTCAATGAAGTTGCTGTAAGTGAGATTATGTCTATCATTCCAAATTTCGGATTTAAGAATGCATGTTAAACCTGCAAATAAATCAAAAGGAGTACATGTAGACATTAATGAAGTTTTTCATTAAAAAAAGATAGAAATGAATGCAAAATATGTGAAACCACCTTATTTAGCCACATCAACCTAATACAATGAAATATGTGCAGTGCCAATGCCTAATTATAGAAGATGTGGATTTCAAAATGGGGAACACAAGACTATTTAAGCAAAGTCAATGAGCAAGAAAACACACTAAAACTAGAGAAAAAGTACAATCGATTTTGCGAAACAATCAAATATTAACCAATCTAGTATGCATCACTTACAATCATGAAGCCAAAGAAATATAGTGGCCAGTCATAACTTACGGAGCATTTCAAAAAGTACCAAATCTGGTGAAAAAATTACATCGGTGGTGGATGAAGGCGGGTCCATGGTTGGTTGGTGTTGGGCTAGTGGGAGCTTGTAGAAATGGAAGATCGTGGAGAGAGACACGGATTACCTGGAGAACAGGAGAAGAGAGCAACACTTTAAGGGTTCTTGACTTTGATTTTGGGAAGCCATTAGGGCATAAATTGGGTGGATTTTTTCGGAGATTTGCAGCAAGTTTGGAAAGTCAATTTTAGGGGATCTTGAGTATGATTTTGGGAAGCCTTTAGGGCATGAGTTGGGTGGGAAATAAGGGAATGAAATTTTGAGGAGAGAGAGAGAGAGATGGGGAAGGGGGATAGAGACAATAGCGTGAATTGCGGTGCGAGTGAATTTAGCGTGAGTGACAGAGGTGTGTCTGTGTGCGTGAATTGAGCGTGAGAGAGATACAGAGAGAATGAGAGAGAGAGAGAGGAGAGAGTCCAAAATCAGGATTTGCTTGAATTTAAGAAAAGATTCGAGAGAATTAAACTTTAGGGATATTAATTTTGAAAATTAAAAATTTTGAATGGCAAAAAGGCTTTAAGAGTTATTCTAGTATGTCGGATCGAAACGATCTGAGACGTTAATAGCTTGAGACAGTTTAAGATAACTTCTTCTGTTGGATAATGTTTTTTTTAGTTATAAAACGATCTAAACCACTCTTTATCTTCAAAATTCAAAATCGTTTTACTGTATTATATAGTAGATATATGTTATTAACTCACCAAAGGTGATATCCAATTCAATGTTCCCCACGATAACAGGATTTAGTAGAGAGAAAATTGTAAACAATCTTATTGTTAGCACGAAAACTTCAATGATTAAATAGATGAACACTTGTTATCCCTTTAGATCTAATTCTTTTGTATTTTTTTGCCCGTGTAAAGATAAATGTGATAGTAGAGGACGTACTTTGTCTGCAATTTTGCAGTCATATATGTATATCTTCGTTCATCTCTATTCTCCCGGACATTTGCAACGGCCTCCCACACCTTTTTCTAGTTAAAATTTGGTACAAACGGAAGAAATTAAAGACTGATCCATTCGCTGATTTTCATGATCGTCCTCACTAAACCAACTTGAATTTGAACTAGGATCTCTCTCTCTCTCATGCACAAAAGCATCCTTGTTTTTACTTTGGCAAATGACTTGTTTATTCTTGTTATGAATTTAGCCCAACTATACAAAACATTTCTAGCCCGTTAACCTAGACTCTCAATTAAGAAGCCTTCAGTTAAAGAATCAACTGAAGGGGGTGTGGTGTGGGGTGTTTTTTTTTGGGGGGTGGGGGGAGTGGGCTTCTACTTGTGATACTTAAATATGGGGAGAAAAAATAATAATTTGAGTTGCTCTTGACAAAAAAATGTGTAATATGAGTAGTTTTTGATCAAAATTTAGATAGCTCGTGATCAAAATTGTGTAATTTTGGTAACTCTTTGACTAAAATTTAGATAAACATTTGGTCAAGAGTTATCTAAATTATTTTTTTTCTCATATTTACGTATCATGTGATAAGTTTATAATAAAAAATTGTTAAGAATTTTGACGTTGTTTGCTAGAGGGACCACGTAAAAATATATTCAAACTTCAGGGACTAAAATGATGCAACTGAAATATTAGGGACTAAAATGAGACAAATTCTATACTTTTGGGACCTCTTGTGTAATTAACCCAAATGATAAAATAGGCTGATCCGAACTCAGTCCAAGCTTACACTATCACTTTAAGTTAAAGTGGAACTTGAGGCCTCAAGCCCATTACAGCTTTAGCTGAGATTTTATATTTATTTTTCCAGTTCAGGCACTATGAGAATGGAGGGCACACAACGAGGTTCAAATTGCGGTACAACTTCAGGGACGGTGATCATTAAGCAAACAGTCAATGTTAGGTTTTTCTGAGTTTAATCAGAACCTTTCGTAACTTTTGGAACCCAGTTGAGTTTAATGGACTAAAACTCTCCCATATCTGGGACAGTAAATCAGGTTGGATAAGCCCTAAGCCCATCCTCCCCGCCCCGAAATCAAACCTAAATTGAAATTCGATTTGAGGTCCGGCTAGATTTGGACCCGCCCGTTTATGGTAGTTGCAAATGGTGGAAGTTCGAATTCAATGCAAAACTCATGGCAATCACGGGTCTCCAAACATGATTGAAATTAGGTGAGTCTGTAATATCGTTAACACAACATGAACACTACACGAAATTATAGTGTTTTAGACTTTTGCTTAAGTTACTTATTTCATAAATGAATAGAATAATATGATCCGATTAATAAAAAATTTGAGTATGAATGAAATCAATTAAACTAAATATACAATACGATTCATTTATATATCTATTATATTCAATTCACATGTGATAAAAATCCGACATAACACTATTTGTTATACACGAATTAAAAAGCGAATCGAACATAAGTGGAATACTTTCAGCATGACTATCGAGTGCTTTAGGTGAATTATGATGGAATTATTTGGGTTACCATGTTACTCATTTGGGATTAATCTTATAAAACAATGGGTACTCACTCTTTTCAGATGATCTATTGAGGCCTAAGAATGCTGTAGTTTTGGTGGAAAGAATTCAAATATTACTGAACAAATATGACTAAATTAGCCAAAACTACGAGCAGTTTAGTATCATTAACAACTAAGAATTACGCAGATTATAAAACACTGATTCTATAGATTATCTATACATCAATGCACAAATATCAACTCAATATTCATAACATTTAAAGCTGCATTTCATACTCTCTGGCCTATGCAATCTATACAGCATCACCTCCTCAAACTTAATGTATGTGCGTGGTGCCGGTTTGCATAGTTCACATTGCAGCCCATATGGTCCTGATATTTCCCCAAGCGTGGACCCTCAACCATTTCTTCCAGTCCTACCTCCTTCACCACTGATGCCACTCACAAATTATAGTGTGCCAAAATTATCAGGTAATATGTACATGCCCTTATTACAGAGAAAATAAATTGTTTTTAAGTTATTGACTAGTGCGGTTTCATGGTCATGTTCTGAAGCTGTCCAATGGAGAAGTAAGGATAAATGTTAGAACCTATCAGATATAAGGAAATGCCCAGATTTGGATGAGGTTCTCCTTCAGCCACACAGTTAGAAAGCTTCAAATTAGTATGTGCCTAATGTGTAAACTGGAACAAAAAAATGTCTTCATATAATGCTGCATGTGCTTTTTCAATCTATAAGCCTCATTTGGTCCTAAATCTAATATATTGCTCTATGAGTTTGCATACTAATATGCAGTAGCAAAGCTTAATGTAAAATTGTTATATTACTTTTGTCTATTAGTTTGCTAAACAGCTAATCCTAAACGGGGTGCCAATTCGTGCTCTAATATAATGTCAATGAATGGAAATTACTTTCCAAGGAAGGGAAAAATTGACGTTGAACAGTCGTGTCTTTCAAAGTTTCCTGATTTTAGAGAATCAACTAAAAGTGATGGTAACCTCACATTACTTGATGGTACTTTTGCTCTTTCAGGACTCTGTCCATTGAATTTTTCAGCAGCTGAAAGTATATTGAGCATAACAGCAACTGATTGCTGGGCTTTGCTTGCTCCATATATGGCCAATGTGGTATGCTGCCCTCAGTTTGATGCCACTCTAGTGATTCTTATAGGTCATTCCAGTATTTACTCTCAGCCGCTTGCTTTGAACTTGACTGATGCCAAGCACTGCCTCTCAGATGTTGAACAGGTCTTGGAGGGTCAAGGTGCCAGTGAGAATCTTCACGAGATATGCTCTATGTATCCATCAAACCTCACTGAGGCTTCTTGCCCGATTGTAGATGTTAAGGAGATGGACAGCACTGTGGATTCCTCTAGACTTCTGGCTGCTTGCGAAAAAATTGATTTCGTCGATGAGTGTTGCAACCAAGTTTGTCAAAACCCCATATCAGACGCTGCTGAAAAAATTGCTTTGAAGAATTATAGTATGGTGAGTTCAAACGGAGATCGTGTCTTGGCTGAGAACTCAATTATGATTAATGATTGTAAGAGTATTGTCCTACGATGGCTGGCCAGTAAACTTGATCCTTCTTCTGCAAATAGGTTTCTCAGAGGACTTTCTTGTTGCAACATAAACAAGGTAAGTGAATGAAGATTAAACAGAGAACCAAATAAAAAGAGGTCTATAGCTTTTCAGAATCAGGCTTCCCACTAGATATCAGAGCTTGAACCATGACAGCTTTTTGGTTTTTCTGCAAAAAGAAAATAAATGCTTCATTTGAATCTAATCTGAAGTATAAGATGAAGAGTGAACTATTAAGCCCATTCACCCTCTGACACAGTGGTGTGAAGTATCGTGACCAATCACTAGATGATTCCACCAGGATGATTTGCAATTGATTTGTTTTTCTTCCCCCTGCTAACCAGTTGATTTGTTTTGCTTCCTATTTTTTATTCTCTTCCAGAATGTCCACTGGTCTTTCATGAGATCAAAAATGTTTCAAGAGAATGTGGCAGTGTGATAGCTAACCAGACAAGTTGCTGTGATGTCCTGAAGAGTTATGTGTCTCAAATTTTTTTTTTACCATCAATAAAAATAGGACAATAATTTATATTTATTTACATCCTATTTAATACTTAAAAGTTCATTAAATCCAACATATAAAAATTTGGTAAGCTTAGTATATACAAACGACACCAATTTTTTTTTTTACAAAATGTAGGCTAATTAAAATTATTTAGAATTGACTCCGGTCAATTTTCATACTTTGAAACCGTTGCTTAATAATTTTATTATTTTTTATATACACTATCATTTTATCACTTTGGCCTTTATATACATAACATGTCCAAAATGTGTTGATGATGTTTGTCAAGTGGGCAAAAAACGTTACTTTTTAATGGTGGGTCAAAAATTTTATTTTTTTAATAGGTTTGGGTGAGTTGTGATAAGTCAAAATTTAATTTTTTAATAAGTTTTGGTAGATAGTAGTGGGCGCAAATTTTTTTATTTTAAATGGGCTTAATTTTTTAATTCTTTTGAGTAAATAATGTGGACCTAATATTTTTATCTTAATTTTGGGTAATGTGGGCCTAATATTTTATCTTAAATTTTGGGTCTCCGCCCTTGAGTTGCAGGAAGCTAATGTCTCCAGCAATGTTTATAATCTTTGTGATATTCACCTCCAAGATTTTTCTCTCCAACATAAATATCATTGGAGCTTTTATAATGGATTTCTATAAATTTGTATGTGAAATAATGGATTTCTGTAAATTTGTCTATGAAACGTGGAAAAATAGGAAATATTAACATTTAAAATGAAGAATTTCAACATGGGTTGCTGCTGCCTCAAAATTTAACATGTTAATGCACTGCAGGCCTCAATGTCCAAGAGATGACTCTCCTCTCTCTACTCTTTGCCTCGTTACTTCTCGACAATTTTCTTGTTGGCGATTCTTTGTTCATTTAGCGATGGCACAAGCTTGTCATGTACCGATTTGTAGGAGAGATGTGAACGATTATAGAAATCAAATCAATTACATTTTTTCATGTGGAATTAATTGTGTGCGTGCATGATCTTGCATAATATAAACACGAGAACAGATCTCTCTCTTGGTGAACACGAGTCAGTCAATCGAATGATCAACTTTGCTAAGCAGAACAGACTGTGAGGACCGGTGGTAGCCTAGAACGGTAATGGTGACTTTTGTGGGTCACCGGGGTGGTCATGTAAGGCTAGGGAAGATTCTTAGAACAGAGAAAAACGAGTTAGGAAGGCACCGGAGTATTTTTCGGCGTATCCCCTCCGATGATCAAGTCAGTTCTTTGAGAGAGGGGAAGAATAAAACACTGTGTATAAGTTTGAGAAAAGGTTTTTTTACGTACCTCATCATGCGTTTTGTGAAGAATATTTATACCTTAAAAACTCATGATTGCTGTCAGTATGGTCAATAGGTGATCATTAGAGGCGGGTAACGTGCACCCTGGTTTTTAAGAGAAATGACTTCTTCCTTAACTGCTCGGGACCTCGAGCAACCAATGCATCACCCTCGGTCTGTTGAGCATTTAATGACCTTTACTCGGCTGGGATATATTAAATGCTCTGTCAGAGGATCATTCCTTGTCTTTCACTTCCGGGTCTTCACGCATTAAATGTTGTCTCATCAAGGGAAAGGTGCATTAAATACTTGTTTTCCCAAGTCGTGTGTCAGCAAGGACATTCTGGTCTTTTCGCCTCTGATCTGACACAGTATTCCACGTGCCAGCTCCCCTTTGGTTGAGCCTTATGCTTTCCTGTGCGTCATGACACCATCTAGGTAAGACCAGGTCATGATGGCTAATCTAGCCTAGCCCAGACTGATGACCTGTCTATCAATAGCCCTGCAGGAATAGGAACGCCGACGTAGTGGGTACACATCGGTGCCGAGGGCCTAGTACAGTCAGGGTCGATGTACCCACCCCCCAATCGACCAAGGAATACATGTCGTCCGTGCATACCGACGTCGTAGATCCTTATGCATAGTACCATCTCGGGGGAAAAGGGATCATGATCCGACAAGCACGTGTCGTGATCACGACAGAGAGTATTTCTTGACACCGAGTACACGTGTCGCTATCTTGGAGTGTCCGAAAAATGTCCCATCAACTGCCCCCAACCTTCGATCTTCTGACTCCGAGGACAAGCGTCGTAAGGAGAGGAAGGGTTCTGCAACTACCCCAACCACTTCATCATTGCCTCTAACCACTTTCCTCTGCTTAGGAGGTCGTGCGCACTAAATGCGCCTCTTCGTGCTTCGTGCCCAATGATGGGGATGTGTACTATATAAATGAGTTCTCTCTCTCCTTCTCACACTTCGCCATTTCGAACTCTTTAGAGAGTCCTTGCCTGAAATCTCGCCAGAGACCCACTTCCTTACATTGTCTACAAACCAATCTTCACCGGAGTCTTAAGGCCAGCAGACTCATCCTTGCTTATGAACCTCCTGGAGGAAGGAACCACTCCAAGTTTTGAAGAAAACCTTTGTTCAAGTTCTGGTGAGTCATTGTATTTTCCTTCTCTCCGCCCTTCTGTCTCTTCTTCTCTTCTTTCTCTCTTTTGTTTTTTGTTTTTTGATTCTCCGATAATCGGAGGTGTTTCTGGTTTGTCGTTCTATGACCCACCTTCAGGAAACCCCTAGGGGATCTTCGTAAAAAAAATTGTCCTTCCTCTTTAGTTTTTATCTTCTTTGGAGATGCCCCGACGTCGGCCTATCACCGAGGATTCCCAGGTCAGTTCCTCGAGGCCCGGGAAGTACAAAGTGAAGGGAGAGGAGCAGATTAATAAGTTTAGGGCTCGATACCACATTTCCCCAAACGTAGGTATAGATGAGTACGACCTAGTTTTGCACAACTGCATTGTCGGGGCCAAGGATGAGATGTTATTTTTCACCAAGGCAATCATAGAGGGTGGAGTTAGGTTCCCCCTGTCTCTTCTACTCCTCCAGTTCCTCGTCCATTTCAGACTCTTCCCGGGGCAGTGTTGCCTTAACGTATTTAGGATAATAATGAGGGTCTTAAAGCTTAACAACCGTCTCGGGGTAAACGTTGGGCTCAACGATATCCTTTTTTGCTACTCCCTGTTGAGGGTTATGCCTCAGCATAATTTTTACCTCAAAGCCAGAGATCCCTCCATGTACCTTGTAACTCACCTCCCTGACTTGGACAAAGGATACAAGGATGACCTTCTGATTCTTCGTAGATCTTGGCAGCGGGGGACCGGTCCCGAGTACAGTGGTCTGATGTGCCCCTTTGAATGGAGAACGACAAGTACGTCGGCCTCCCCGAGTCTACTATTTTTGTCCTTGGGATTCTTTTTTTTAGAAGTGTTAATAACATTCTCTCTTGTGCAGACGTCCTCGCCTGGGAAGTTGCCCCTCCCCCTTGGTCCTTGGTGAACTTTGCTGACCTTGTCACTGTTTGGAGATTTGTTGGCGACGACGGGTTTGGTTGGGCTGCTCACATCCTCCTCAACTACACTCCTGGGTATAAAAAGTTCTCACAGCTCCCCCAGCCTTTCGAGCCATCGCAGTGGTTTGAACTCTTCGATCAGGCTGCACAACAAGAGGCTGAGGAGAACTTGGAGGAAGACCTCGACAGGGCTACCGAGGCGGAAGTAGAGGGTGTCCATGACGTTGAGGAGTTCGGGGCCAGAGAGGCTTTGGTTCCTTCGCACGCCGAGGTGGGGACTTCAGGGAGAGATTCGTGGCCCGATTTCTACATCCTTCAGTCGCTAGACGTAGAGGATGCCCCCGAGGTAGCCATGTCACACACGCCTCGCATCGACCTAGGATTCTTGAGGCAAAGGCAGACCCTTGTCGTCGGGAGAGGACGGGGGTCAGCCAGTAGCGCCCCATCAACAGGTACTAGCGCCAACCCCCCGCCTCCGAGGCCCACTGGTCGGGGTCAAGTGCAGGACCGAGATCCTCAAGTCGAGGAGGAGAGGAGGATCAAACAAAGGCACGACGGCCCGGGTAGGGGATCCAGGGCCTCCTCCGCTCAACAGCCAAGTGGGAAAGGTTGTGGGTTACCCCCTCCATCCCAACAGCAACAGCCACAGCAGAGGCAACAACAACAGCAGCAGCGGCAACAACAGCAACAGCAGCAGAGGCAGACTCCAACTCCCCCTCCGCAGACGGTAGAACCCGCAGAGTGGAATCCTCGGGCCACTGACCATATGAACCGGGTGATCAGGGTTGATGATTCCATTTAACAGGACCCCCATGTCGCCAACGCAGTGAGCGAGACACTCCATTTCAAGGCCAACAGGCTCATAGGGGATGGACAACGAACACGTTGTTCCGCTCCATCATTCAGAATTTTCTGGTGGTAAGTTCATCTTTGTTTCAGTCTTTTCTTGTCGCGTCACTTTTAATTGACAAGTCCTTTCCCTCACAGGCCACCCAACAAATTTTCATAATCGCTGCGCGATATCATGCAACTAGGATGGACCTCCCGCGGACCCAAGAACAGAAGGAAGAGGCCGACGGAGCCCCAGCCAGTGCTAAGGAAGATGTAGCTGCTTGGGACTCCACCCTCGCGGGACAGACTGCTCAGATTGAACAACTCCTCAAGGATGGAGAATCGGCGAAGGTCAACGCTGAAAAGCTAAGTGCTGCATTGGTCGACGCTGAGGGGAGGATCATGCAGTAGACGCAGCGGCTCTCTACAGCAGAGGAGAGGGCAGTAGGGTCAGAGGAGAACATTCTGGCTCTGACACAGGAGCTGAATAGGATCAGGGCCGAGGTGGAGAATAGAAAGTTCGAGGAGCAAATCCGAGAAGAGTTTGCCGACGACGTGCTGCCTGCCCTCGAGGAGAACATCAAGGAGTTCTTCAAGAAGGGATGAGACGAGGCGATCTGGGTTGCCGGTGTCCTTCCAGACTTCCCATTCTTCATGATGCACAGTTACGTGTCATTGGTAGACTTGGCACAGGCCGAGGCCGAGATTGCTGCTGATGGTGCGACTTCAACGCCGATGCAAGTT